CCGGCCCCCCCCCGCCCCCCGCGGACGTCACCGCGCGGCGGCCGCTGCCGGTGTGAACCGGTTGATGAATGGCGAAGCGCTCCTGGGCGGGGGAGGGAAGGAGCCGAGGAGGGACTCGCGGGTGAACGAAGTCTGAGGTGGGGGAGGAGTGGGAGAGAGAGAGGATGCCGATCTAACGACTGGAAGGAATCGCGGCACAAACCCTGGTTCATATTATTAAAACCACCGAGGCGTGCACACGTCACATGGGAGGCTTGAAGTTTGCTTCAAACTTAAAATGCAATGCCTTTAGGACTGGAACCGTGTCTCAGCCCCGACCCTGCTTGCTGCTACATTAAGCCATAATCACAGTCATCTTTGCCAGCGGTTTACCTTGGCACCTGGGCTCCTACGATCTCCGTCATCAAATATTTATGTCGCATGACCGCTGTACCCAGTGACTCAACACTAATGCCACGGCCTTAAGCTCGGACAAGGTGAATACTTGTCCCCGGGGGCACTTTCAAGCGGAAAGGAACGTGTCTTCACAAACTTATCCTATATTAGACAGGGAGAGTTTCTCGTGATGCAAATAAAGCCCTATGCTAGCTGTAGTGTTTTTTTGGTCACGTCTCCAATACTACCTACGCTTGCACAGGCAGTTGGCTCAATTGTGGCATTTTGAAATCACATGCTTACATTGTACTAATGCTCTCTTGATGTCACAGATAATGAAAAGCTGATAAAAGAAAGCGTTTTTAAAATTAAGAATCTTCGGTTTTGTCAAGGCCTGATGTCATTCTGCGTTCAAAGCTAAAGCTTTCCTTTCTGTTCATTGTCCCACTATTTTCATAATTTAGGCCCTGAAGTAGAGCCTTATCACAATTGTTCTGTGCTACACAGGGCAACTCTGTCATTTATAATCTGAAAACACTCTGCTTTCTGGAAGGAGTAAACAGGGCTTTTACCTGCTTTGAATAACTCAGTTTTCTACAAACACTGAGGCCTTTTGTTTGCTGCTTTTCCTGAGCAGTAGATGGAAGAGGGCTTTAGGGATCAAATTGTGTCCTCAGTGTACTACTGTAGTGTCTTAGGATTTATTAGAACTTCTATTTAGAGACTGTGCTTGCATAGTTATTTAACTTTCTTGTAAACATATATGCTGTAAACAAAGTAAGTGCTTTAAAAAAGGAATTGGGTCAGGCTTTTACAGGAACAGAAGTCTACTCATCTTCATTTTAAAGAAATTGCTTGCCAAGGAAACTTTTGACTCCATCTAAATCAAGGAAAACTAAAGAGCTTAAGAAATATATGACGCCTCTTCACAATGAAACCATAAAAAGAGTAAAGCTTTAAAAATCTTAAGTCCTAAAAAATATATAGAAAGATTAAAAAACAACTTGCGGTGAGAGGGGCCTTCCTAAGTAGGTGAGGGAACTCAAGTCACAAAGAAAAAGACAGATTTCATGATATAAAATTTGAAACTTCTATATGGCAAAAGACTCGACAAAGTCAAAATATTAATGTCACATGCAGAAAACATTGGCCATGTATCATGGGCAGAATTAACATCATTGTAAAGAAAATGCTTGACCTTGTTTACAACAATGTAGTTAAAACATACCTATTCGATCAACTACTCTCACTACAAGAACCAATAGCACAGTGATGCTAATTGGAGTATGAAAGTTTTTCATGTAATGACTTCAAAAAATGAATTTGGTGGGACAAGATATAAATTCAGAAAATGGTAAGCAGAGCCAAATCAGTATTAGAAAGTTTTCTTGTAAAACTTGTGATACAAGTTGTAAGTCTTGTGATCCACAGATCCTATAATTACCACAAGCAGTGCTGACATGAAATATCCAGCCACTTATGCTTATCAAGCTCAAAGCTGGGCTCAAATTTACAGCTTCAGAGGGTCTTAGCCTTTCAAATGAGGTACCACTTTCTTCTGCTTTGAAAAGGACATAGTTCAAAAATGAAAAACTACAAAAAGCTTTTGCTGTTGACAGAAAGGACACACTTTAAATGAGAAATACATGTGCTATTGCTGACCAGCTCACTCAATTCAGAGTAGTTATGGACCTGCCATTCTGGTAGCTACCATGTTTATGTGCCCTCACCGTTGTACTGAGAGTGTCTGCTCTACTCAGCCCAATAGTTTTAAGTTGTTGATTCTTAGAGAATAGTAGTCCATCCCAACATTGATCAGGAGACTCCTGTGGTCTAAGGACTCAAAACTCTAGATTTGTGCTTGGAGCATCAGCACCCATACTTATTAACAGAGGGTCTCTGGGCTGAGCCAACAGACATACAAATAGTGGTTGGTATAGACATCCCAAAGTAAGAAAACATCTCTGCAAGTCAATGCTCCAGAAGAAGTCCTGAGATGGAAGACTTCTCTAAACAAGATGCCCAGCTGTAAGTTACTTTTCTTAGTAAAATGTTATTCTTGAGCTCATATGGTAGGCAGGACTTTTCATCAGCATATTCAAAATGCAAAATCAAACAGTTGAAAGATAAAGACATCAAAAGCATATGAGGAGTTTGTTTCTGTATTCTTAGAAGATGAAACACTATGGGAGACAACAAATCAGCAAATCCTGATGATGAAGAAAAATCCTTACAGGGACAGCAGATCTAGTAAACATTGAATGATTCCAGTTATACCATATATATCAAAGGAAGGGAGGATTTCATTCCTTTCAATCTTCTCAGATTGATTAGAGCTATGAATAGTCATTTGGGGCTATGAGGAAATTTGATAAAAAAATTTAACATAGCAAGAATATTACCATTCAGTGCTAGATAGCTCAAGTGTGACAATACCAACCCAGGAAAAAAAAAAAAAAAAAAACCTCACTAGATTGCAAGGTAAATAATGTGCCAAATATACTTAGTAGAGGCAAATACTAAAATCCAGTGGGTTTCTGGATACTAGTACAGAGGGTGATATTAAGTATATGCTCATATTTAAAAAGTGTCCTAAAAATTCTGGGATACAACCAAGGCTCCTATCAATATTATAAAAGTTTATTATCATTTTATTATTATAGAACAGGTTATTTTATATCCAAAATTAATATCCTTGTGTGATCGTGAAAAAAATGTTTAAAAATGTATACTTAAATTTGTTTAAAACTAAAGTATGCTTTATGTTAAAGAGTGAGTTTTCTTCCCTTAAGACACTGATTTAAAGTTTGTCAACATTTTTAATGTCTATATATTTTTGTATATATTTTTAATTGAAGTACAATTGACATATAATATGTTTCAGGTGTTCAACATGATTCCATATTTGAATATATTGAAAAATAAATTACCACAATAAGTCTAACTAATATCTGTTCCCATACACAGTTATATTTTTTCTTGTGATGAGGATATTAAATTTTTTAAATAAGTTTGATGAATAATAAAAATCGAACAGCAGTGCTACATCATCATTTCTATAGGAATTTTAGACACAGAAATCTCCAACAAGCAATTAAGCTTGTAATAACACGTCTTTCAAGGATAAAGTGCATAGGCCAATAGCTATGCGTGGGCTATTGTGTTTTGTATGTGTCAAACTTAAAAAAGAATTGTCTAAGAAACAATTCTCTTAATCTGTTATGTTCATTTTCTGTTTCATATGTCTAATTTTAATCTGTTTCATATGTCTAACTTAAATGTAAACCTGAAAATTGCTTAGGTAAGTCTTCAAATAGGATGAAAATGTGTTTTCACATGGAGTACCCGACCACTTAATGTATTTACATCTATGATGGTTGAGCGTGCATATTAAGATGTGATTGACAGATTAGTCAAAATAAAATTTCCATTTGCATGCTGGAAGGAACTGTTTCCATAGGACACTGATTAAAGAGCTTATTATGAACCTGTAATAGTTCATAGCATTTTCATAGAATGCCATTATTATGACTGATTCACGTACTTGTACCTGGAGGAATCTAGTTTGAGAAAACTCTTGTTTTCAGTCAACTCAGAAAAATTTCTTTTGCTGTTCTAAAGTCTGAATAAAAATCATTTGAGGATTAGAAATCAGGAGGGGCATAGTCTCCATGTAACTGTTTAGAACATGTTGAATTGTGCCGCATTATTAAGTGAGGCAAAAAAAATAGCTCAGGAAAGGAAAATTTAATCTGGCCAGAGAAAGGGAATGGATATAAATAAATTTTAAAGGTTGGTTATGCATGCTATGGCAAAGCTGTCACTTGACAGGTTTAATTTACAGAGTTGGCATTTAGGCTGCAGATAATCCAGACAGACACTGACCTAAGCAGCATTACTGGGGTAAGCCTTACATAAAGAGAAATATTCTTGAATGGTTTCTGGCAAACATAATAACATTTATTTAACAAAAAGCTAAAGTAGTCATGCTTTTTCCCTACTCTAACATAATTGCTTTTTAACTGGGCATATTCAACAAACATTGCTATTTTTAGTGTAGTATTTCTATAACTCATTTCATCATTGGACGATATTGAATAAGAGAAAATTAGTATAAAAGCATTTCAAAATTTCTTCTATTTAAAAAGTTGTCATATCATGGGTTTCTTGAATCCGCAGACATATTGATACACATAGTAGATACTCAACCAATATTTGTTTGGATATGATCAGGTTACTTTCTCATCTAAAATCCTTTCGGGGCATCCTATTTCCAGTTCTCCTAAGTTTTCTTTGCAGGCTCCTTTTCATCTCTCAATCCTTTTAATTATGGCGTTCACTGGGGTTTTGTTCTAGGGCTTCCTGACCCTGCTCTGCTCACTACCCTATAGCTGTGTCTGGATCTTTCCTCCCTCAATACTGTTTTGTTAATTGCATAACATAATCCAGGTGCTCTGCTATTTTATGATTAACATAAACATTGTTTCTGCCTCCAATGAAACTTACATACAGGTAGGTAAAGAGAAAATAACAAGTTACTAAGCAAAGAATATAATTGCAAGTTGTAATATGTGCTATGAAGGAGATAAACGGAATAGCTGGAGTAACTTACTTTAAACAGGAAAGTCAGGAGGGAGCTGTCTCCCAGGAGATTTAGACCTAAATAATGAGAATGAATCACAGAAAGAGGGGAAGCAGGAGAGATATTCTTGGTTGAGGAAATGACAGTACAGATATCCAAGGTGAAGAGTTTGGTGGTGCTCAAGGAGATGAAAGACCTGAGCAAAATACAAGAGAAGAAAGGCAGGAGTCACCTTGGAGATCTGACAGGGACTAGATCATGTATGGCCAGTAGGTCATGGTAAGAATTTGAAGTGCTTTTTTTTTTTTTTAGGGACAATGAACAACAGCTGCATAACAGAAATACATGTTTTAAGAAATACATGTTTCTGTTGTGAGAACAGAAAGAAGTTGATGACTGGGTACATAGAAGAATAAAATCTAAGATTTGAAGGTTGTCAGTATTTATCCATTGCTGTCTAGGGAAGAGGCATTGAATCTGTCTACCATGATCATATGGGTTGTCGTAGAGATATTTTATCATGGGATGGTATTAATGACATCAACTGACATTTACTGAAAGCTTACTATGTGCTGGGTACTATATTAGGCCTGTATTAATCGTTTTATAAATCTCTCCAGGTTGATTTTATCCCCACTATAAAAGTCAATATACAGAACCTCAGAAAGTTCAAAATCACACAAGTGTTATATGATGCAGCTGGGATTCAAATCCCATGGCTTGCCTGCAAGAGTCCCTGCCTCCACCACTCAGCTGAGCTGCTTTCCTTGTCTTGAAATATTCCTTAAGGTTACAGTATTCACTGTCTTATGCTCTGATTCTTTGTGCAACAAACTTTTCATTGTTAATTTGGATTCCCACATATTCTAATCCTGGAAAGGAATCATTCCATTATAAATGTACTGGCATTCTGGCTCATATGTCATCCTTCTGAGTTTAGTAAAAGTGAATCATAAAATATGATTATGTAGTAAATTACTAAAAATCTACCTTCTCCTCTCATCCTCATGAATATTTTAAGAGAAATTGTACTTCAGGCCAGTGCTACTCAAGTGCAGACTGTGAAATGGTGCCAACCTACAAACTGTTGTTGGTCTGAGAAGCATGTAAAAACCTTTATAAAAATCTGATAGAGTAACTTCATGTCTATTGAATTTAATTTTAAAAATTAGGCTTGTGCTTTTAAGTATTTTTAAAATTTCATTTTCAAGTAATTTTTTTTTTGAGAAACTCTGCTCTAAAGGATAAGAACTATAGAAATTAGTTTGTTATATTATGAAAAACCTCACCAGGATTACCTTCTTTAGTCTTGCATAAATGAGTCCAGTCCATGATCTTTTAAATATTCTATATTCCTAGTCTGTCTATCCTGGGTTGCTGTCATCAGAAGGAGAGAAACCATTCATAGCATTTCTTAGCATTTTTTTTTTTTTGATAAGCTTCGAATAAGAACTATGATTGTGGTTTTACAAATATATGAACATGTTTTTGTTGATATATTGGTGTGCTCCTGTCAGGACAAATTAGAGCTTCTGCAGCACTCTTCCATAAAGTTGAAAAGAGAACAGAAAATGATTTTGACAGCAAGGAAAAGTATGTCTACAACAAATTTATAGACTATTTCATTTTTAGTTTTCGAGAAATTCTTTTTCTAATCCAAATTACTTTTTACTGCTATTTAAGCCTTTTTCCTTTTATTTAGTGTCCATCGTGTAAAGTAAATTACTATTTTATAAGTAATGATGGAATTGGAACTCTGTCAAATAGCTTTATATACTATCACTTCCCCAAATAACCCCATTTAAATCCTTGCTGTTTACAAGTGTCATCATGATCCTTTCAATGAATTTAAAATGGCTTTTAAATTTATGTTACTGTAGTACTTATAGTTACAAGATATTTTTCTTCATTAGTATGTTATTTGTAAATATGAATTGATTTTAATGAAATTGTCCTAATTAATTTCCCACAAATGGACATCATGTACATCAATGACTCATCTCTTCAACGTCCTTTCCACTGAGAAAGGAACAAAGTGAGCAGAATTATTTATCTTCCATATTTCTGTAGAGCCTTACTGCCTTGGATATGTTCTGTCGAAAGCCAATCACCCTGCTATATTTTTTTAGTACTATGTGTAGCCTTCATGATAAACTTTTAATGAGCATTATCTGACAACTTACTTGACAGATGAGGAAACTCATTTCTTTATTTCCTTCTTGAAACTCTCTTGTTTTGCCTACTTTCCTGAGGGATCCTGAGAGGCCTTGTCTCCCTCTGCCTTCCTGCCCTAAAGGTGTTGGTATCTTTAAAGATATTTCACTCTACACTCTACGATCTCAGAATTATTTAGAGGACTTCTTTGGTTTTAACTTCCAAATATTCAGTGATAACTCTAAAACATGCTTCTAGTAAAGACACCTCTCCTAAGTTCCAGATATGTATTTCCGTGGGATAAACTCCAAGTATCTCATACTCAAAATGGCCAAAGCTGACAATAATCTCCTTTCTACTCCTGTGAGACTTGTTCATCTTAACTGTTGTCCTGATACTGGTGACTTGCCCCTGTTCCCCTCAAGTGCCTCGGCCAGAAAACTGGCGGTCATAACACTCCTCCTTTTTCTTCACCTCTGATTGTCACCAATTTCCATGGAGTCTATCTACTAAAATATCTCAGAAATTGTCCCCCTCCATCTACTTTTTACTGTCAGTCTTCCTTCATTTGTTCTCTCCCACTTTTCCTACCTTAGTCCTCCTTTCCCTTCCTTAATTCCTTCAATAATATTTAATAAGTTGTACTGAAATAGCTTGATTCAATGACTTCTCCTCTCCATCTGATCTATCCTGTATTTTAAAAAATTCGGTGTCATCATTTTTTAAAAAAATGCAAATCCGACCTTGCAATTCTCCTACTCAAAATCCTTCAATGGCCCTCCATCAACTTTTAGATAAAGTCCAAACTCCCTAGCAAGACACTTAAGACACTCTAAATTATGCCTTTGCCTTGCCAACCATACCTCCTGCTTCACAATTAACTCTCCTCACCTTTGAAACCAATTGTGATTTCCAAAATATATGCCATGCTTTCTTAGACCTCCATGGTCTGCCATTCCTTTAACCTGGAAAATTCTCTTTGTACTTCCTCTAAAACTCTAAAATCAATTTTTAATGAACTTTTCCTAACTTCCCAGTCAATGTAGGTACCCCATTCCCTGTGCTTCCATAGGACTTTTTACATACCTCAATTGCAGCATTCATTGCATTTTATAATCATTTTTGTAAACTATACCTGTCTCCCTCATACCCCATGAAGCTTTCCAAGACAGAGGCCATGTTTTTTAAATTACTCTGTGCCTAATACAGTATTCGATGCATAGCTATTTAATGAGTAACTAGCATTTTTTTGGGCTATTATTGAGTCATGTTTAATTTAAAGATGTTTGCAGGACAGTGCTGGTGTTTGTTAGGCACAGAAGCCCCGAGAAATAGGATCTGGAAGCAGACAGAGATTAGAAGGTGAAATCAAGAAAGTACCAATGATAACAGGCTGGCTTATCTTAGATAGTATGACCCAAGAGAACAGTTTTTACTTTTTTTTTTTTTTGCTGTATTCGAAAATTTCTTCTAAAAGACTATTAATAATTTGCTTTTATATAGCTGTTTAGAATAATCTTACTTTTTTCCTTGAAATAAATATCAAACCAAAAGACTGGACAAATAGTATCGGTGACTAAGGAATAAATTATTGATCTAGTACAGATTTACCCAAAGTGATAGGGACATGCTGATCTCTTTGGCAGAGGCTGTGGGCAGAGAATTCTAGACTTAACTTCCCCTCTGCTATCATTCTCTCATTTGTGTACTATAAGGTGGATAAAAACCGTGCCCTGAGAAAATACTTTACATGGCAAACCTAAAGCAAGTTTACTATAATGTTTTTAAATTGTTATATTGTATTAGATTTGCCAAAATGTGAGCTTGAAGACTGGATTGACTTTTTGGAAATTTAAGAAAAATATTTTCTTTGTCTTTATTATGTCAGTTGTACCAAAAAGTTACTAGTTAATAGTAAGGCTTACTTGAGAAGGGTATGGCATGTGTTCTGTCGACTGGTGGGTAATCTCTACATACAATGAAAATGTTGACCAATCAGTGGTAGTAATAGGTATTTAAGAACAGATTTTACAATATTTATAATAGTTTTCCTTCAATTATATACTTTTTGAGAGGGAGAAGTCCTGGCAGGTGGCTATTATACATAGAAGACTTAATTCACAATTGTAAATATCTGTGGTGGTTGCATCCTAGAGTTTCATCCTGAAACCATTCACAGAATCTATGATATTATAAAATCATTAAAAATGGCCCTTAAAAATGTTAAAAAAGAAACAACAGGCTCAAAATGGAGTCATTCATGCTAAACTTCACCAAGATTTAGTACCTAGCCTAATGGCTGTTTCAGCCTCTTCCAGAAATGGAATTTTAAACCAATCAGTCTGGAATTTCCTGATCAGCTCTAGTGAGGTAAGACCTGATAAGATCCCTTGATTTCTAAGGAAAGGTAATCTCACCTGAAATAATCTACTCTTTTAACACCCTTGTCCCATCCTCTTTCTACCTATGAAAACCTTTCGTTTTGTATAACTCCTTGGACCACTTTCTATTTACTAGATGAAATGCTGCCTGAACCATGGATAGTTCAATAAAGCCAATTTGATCTTCAAATTTACACTGTGGAATTTTTGTTCTTTAACAAAGGTTCTTAGTTATTTTTTATTCTTGGGCCCCTGGCTTCTATATAGTAATCTTTTATTTTTAAGGGACTTTTATCTTTTCAGAGTATTTTAACTACATGGCCCAGCCTTTCTGCCTTCCACAGTTATTGTAAAAGGAAATTGTGATGTGTTTATACCTGTGTGCCTTTTTGGAAGACCTGAGATTCAGAAACTGTTAGAATGATAAAAGACAGGAAATGCAGCAAGGGGTTGGAGGATGGAGTTTTTCCAAGATGAAAGAATTTTAGAGCAATGTAAAGATAGAATTGAAAGGGCCTGGAAGTTCATTCAATTATACCTCAGGGAACAGAGCTGGGGAGAGGATAAGTGACTCATCCAAGCGCTCACGGAAGGTGGCAAAGTCAACTCAGAGCCAAGGGAAAGTCCTCCTAACAGGACTGCACCTTGCATTTCCATGCAGTTTAACTCCCTGAATGACTTCTTTTATAGTGTCTGTTTGCATCACTGACTGACTAACAAGGCATTTGGTCTGA